AACAAAGAAAAAACGAAAATGATAAATAAGAAAATAATAATGTTTAAAAATAAAAATCTACAAAGGATGATCACAAACTCTATCCAACTCAATAGGAGGGATAAATAATGAGAAATGAAAATAATCAAGAAGTAATGAATAAAAAAAAAATGTTAGGAAATAAAAAGCGAAAATAAAAAGTAGGAATAAGCAGAAGATGTTATTGATTAGGAAATAATTTATGAAAATATTGAAAAATAAAATAAAATGAAATCCCCTTTAGATTTTTAGATTTTATTAAATTGTCTTAATGGTGTTATATTTACTTTGGAAGCTGAAAGCAAGTATTAAAAATTGAATTTAATTTAGAATACAACTCATTGATAAGATGTTTTATTGCACAGTTAAAGATTAATAGATGGTATTTAAATAAGGAGATAAAGCAAGCTTATATTTTATAATTGACAGTGGTAGATGCGAAGTTATAATAAATAATAATAAAAAAAAAATTTTATAATCTGGATAGTCATTTGGTGAATTAGAAATATTGTACAATGTTCCATAATCTACTTCAGTGAAAGCATTAGGAAGTACTAAATTTAATAATTTTAGATTGTACCTTTTGGGTTATGGATAGATTTACATTTAGAAAAACTATAGAAGAAATATCATTGAAGGATTTTGAATAAAATTAAGAAATATTATAGAAAGTTAAATGTTTTTGTAATAAAATAAAAATAATAGGTTAGAGTCACTTACTTATGATTAAAGAAAAGCAATCTCATCGGTTTTGATAACCCTAAGCTTTGAACCTGAAAGGATAATTGTAAGGAAAGGCGATTAAGCAGATTCATTTTTTATTATTAAAAAAGGAGAGGTTAAAATTTATAAGGGAGACGACCAATTGATAAGAACTTAAGAAGGAGATTCATTTGAAGAATATTCATTATAAAATAATTCGGTAAGATAAGCAACAGTCTAAGCATATAAAGATGTTATTTTATTAGCAATATCAAGATTTGATTTGTAAAGAATTTTGGGAGATAAAATGTATACTATTATTTTCTATGGTTAATAAAGATGGGCATTTTAACGTCATCCATTTTTAAAATGGCTTACTTAACTTTAAATTGAAAGAATAGTAAGCAATATGGAATAAAAATAATATAAGTAAGGAGATATTATTATAGAAAAAGAATAATAATGTACTCATTTGATTGTTGTTCTGATGGCAACTATTTAATATGGATAATCATTAATAGGACAAGGGTAAATATTTGGTGATTAATTTTTGGAATAGTAAAATTAAATTTTAGCTGATTCTTTGATAATGAAATCAGATGGATTTATAAGTTAAATACAAATAAAAGTCTTTTTTGAAATTATTGGAGACAATCTAAAAGAAATTTATTAATAATAGAAAATAGCACATATTAACAATATCAAAATAAAATTAGAAGAATTGATATCGATCAAAATTTTAGGTTAAGGAGATTTTACTAATATCTATTTAGTTCATAATAAATCCGAAAATAAAAATTATTCACTTAAATGTATATCTAAAGCTTAAATAATCAAGTAAAATTTAGAAAGGCATTTAGACTAACAGAAATAAGTATCATAGATTGCTAATTTTCCATTAATTATACATTATTATAAGAGCTTTAAGGATTAAAACTACATCTACTTTTTAGAGGAATATGTCAAAGGAATGTAGATAAATGAAATCATTAAGGAAATAGGAGCTTTAAATACTTATAATTTATAATTTTATATAGGATCATTAATTTTATGTATGGAATATTTTCATCTCAATCATATTATTTATAGAAATGTTTCACCAACACATGTTATGGTTGATGATTAAGTAAATAATAAATTTATTATAAGGGATTTATAAAGTTGATAGGTTTAGGAACTGCCAAATATATTGAAAATAACAAAGGAAAAACATTTACAATGAAAGGAACTCCTCATTATATGGCTCCAGAAATATTTATTGGAAGGGGGTACACATATTCAGTTGATTTATGGTCTATAGGAATAATGATGTACGAATTTATCTATGGTAAAGTACCTTATGGAGAAAATGCAGATGATCCGTAAATCTTAATTTAAAACATTTAGATACCTTATTTTTGAGGACATCCAAAATAACCCCTTAAACTTTCCTTCTGAGCCCAAAGATTAAAATGCTTAAAAATTAATGGAATAACTCATAAACAAAATTCCTTAAATAAGGTTAGGATCATCTTATGCGATTCTAAAGAAAAAATAATTTTTTGAAAATTTTAATTTTGATTCATTAATGAATAGAGACTTAAAACCTCCTTATATTCCACCTAATACCAAATTCATAAATGACAAAGAAATCTAAAAAGCCATCGAGACTGGAAAACTCATTATTGAAGAAATTAAAGTATCAATTTTTTATAGTTTTGTAGAGTGATCCTAGAACAATTAATAACATCTATAACTCAGACGATGCAAGAAATCCTGATTGGGATTAAATTTATTGAGCAAAAGATTATACATATGCATAATTGAAATTCATTTTATAATTATTCAAATCCTAACATAATAATATAGAGTGTTTTGATTCACAATTGGTTTAAATTCTGCAGAATTGCTATTAAAATTTTCCATCAACTAATTTCTAATTAAATCAGAATATTTGTTTATTTTAATAATTAAATTCCTTATTATTTTAATATTTATTATTCAAAAGAATAAGTCACAAATATAAGATAGAATGCTTTTATAAGAAAATCAATACCATGGAGAAAAGATAAATAATTAATCTAAAGCTAACCAGCTTAATTAAAATGGTTTAATACTTTAAATAGAATACAATATGCCCAGTTAAATAAATTTAATTATTTGCAATTTAAAAAAAAAAACAATAATAGAAATTAAAAAATCTTAATAAAATTATGAAACCAAAAAACAATTTATTTCTTAAAAAATTAAGTGGTCAATCTTAATTATTAAAGTTATAACAAAAATCACCAATTTAAGGAAGAGTTGAGTGAAAAATGCAAAATAATTAAATATTCAGAATCATAAAGAGTTATATATGAAATACTCCCTTTTAATAAATTTAATCCGAGAAATTTCAAATAGAGAATTAAAATATAAATTGATGTAGAATAACTTAAAATACAATATAAATTCCCAAAGAAGTTTATTCAATTTTAAATTCAAGCAATTCTTTTGAACTTTTACCTAAAATATGTTTATTATTTCTAAAATTAATTAATATTGATTTGCTAGAGTAAAAACATTTCTATCTAAAATTTTTGAAACAAAGAAACTTTTAGATCCTAAAATTACAAAAATAATAATTTGAAAATTTTCGAATCTAAACAATTAATATTTATCAAAAAAATAAAAAATAATTTATTTTTGTAATATATTAATCAAATAATATTCCTACAAAATGGATATCTAGACTGAGAATCTTCAGAGAGATTTACAATAAACTTATTTCAAACAAACAATTTAAGAGCATGAAATTGAGAAATGGGATGATTGTAATTGTTAAATATCTAAAAAAACAGTTCAAATTACTTTTACTTAAAATCAATAAATTTTATATTTATAAGATGGAGCTATTCATAGAAAGTATAAGCGATATATAAGCAAAAAAGAAAATAAATACATGATACCAAGAATTTAGAAATATTTAGTAATATGGATCAGATCGAAAATCTTCTTTGGAAAGGTTAGAATGGATTAAACAAAGAGAAAATTGGTAAATGGATCATTTCTTGGTATGGAGAGGTTTTAGTGTCAGTTGGTGGATACTATGAGATTGGGTAAAAACACGGATTGTGGAAAGAAATGATTCAACAATTTTAGATGTAATTAAAAGAATTTTGTTATAATAAAAATATAGTTATGCTCAAGTTTTTTAAGTTGGAGAATTTTAACATGATTTGAGAAGAGGCTAATGGAATATTATTTACCATAATCAAAAAATGCAATTTATAAAAATTATTTAGTGGTAATTGAAGATATAATGAGATAGGCTAAAAAATTGGTAAATGGATAGAGTTATCAGATTCTTTTTTTGATTATTCTTAAGTCACATATAATATATTAAGGGTATGAAGATAGGAAAATGGGATACTATGTATTGTCGAAATTTTGAGAAATATTATAAATAAATGTAAAAGAAAAAGCATTTTTATTTTAGTGGTGGCGGATCATATATACAAAAATAAGATGGTAATTCTGGGAAGTATAAGATGTGGATAGAGTTATGGGAAGGCTTCAATGATAATGCCTAAGTCATTTATATCGGCGAATATAATATAAAATCTATGAAGGTAGGTTAATGGGATGTTAAGTATTACCAGAAATATGATAATTAATATAGAAAAATGTAAATATTATTAGAATTTCAAACTTAGTGGGGGAGGAACATATGTGGAATACTAAAATAATTCTTCTGGGAAGATTGGCAATTGGTTAGATTTATGGGAGGGCTTCAAAAGCACTGCTTAAGTTATTTATAATGGGGATTATAACTAATAGGGTAAGAAAATAGGAAGATGGAATATTTTGCTTTTGGATAAATTTGATTACAATAGCAATTCAAAAATGTAAATAATAATAATAGATATATTAGTGGTGGCGGATATTATGAGGAGTAATAAGATGATACTTCTGTAAAAATGGGTATGTGGATGGAATTTTGGGAAGGTTTCAAAGATAATGCTTAAGTCACTTATGTAGGCGGATATAATATTAAAGGTGTGAAAATGGAAAGATGGAATATTTGGCATTAGGAAAAGTATGGAGATGACAAAAATAATTAAATGTAAATAATACAAAAGATATAAAAAGTGGTGGTGGATAATATGAAGAGTAATAAGATGGTATTTGTGTAAAGGTTGGGATGTGGATAGAGGTATGGGAGGGCTTCAATGATAATGCCTAAGTAACTTATAGTGGTCAATATAATTTAAATGGTGTGAAGGTAGGTTAATGGGAAATTATGTATAGAAAGAATGAAGACGAACCATTCAAAAAAATGTAAACATTATAAATATATCAAAGTGGAGGTGGATAATATTATTAGTAACGAAAAGATTTTTCAATTAAAACTGGAGGATGGATTGAGATTGGAGTTTATTGGTGGCAAACTTATAATGGTGATTATAACGAATAGGGAATTAAAATAGGGATTTGGAAAGTAATGGATATAAGTGAGAATAAGAAATTTGATGAAATCATATACAATGATTGAAAATTTATATATATCTCCAGATAGATTGTTTTGAATTATTATTTCGTTAAATTATTTGCTAAAAATTAAATTTGTTCAGTATTTTTTGAATTAATGACCTCCTTTTTTTATTCAGTATCATTATGATAGATTTAAAAATAATTTTATTTAATGTTATTAATAATATATTCATTTTTACATGGGTATTTTTCATTTATAAAATACATCATCCTATTCTTATTTAAGTTATAGTTCAGAGTTAATATATAAATTTTATTTAGTTCTTTTCTTTTTATTCAAAAAAATATATAAAGTCAACAGAAGACATATTAAAACAATGATAATAATGAAAAT